GCTCACATTTGGCTCGTTCGTGTGCAGCGTGTCGGTGAGCGTGCTTTTCTCACCCAGGCTCATTTTCTTCCATTCAGATTTGTTGAATTACGTTCACAGTAACACTTGGCTCTTGTTTTCAAGTTGTTTTGAGATCACTTTGAGGTTTGTACAGTTTTNCAGTTTTTATTTGCTTATTCGATCGTTTAATAATGCAGTACCGTAGAATTTTGCCGGATCGTTCGTTTTGTTGACGCTTTGTGATCCAATTTCGGCTACGCGTTGCTCGTTGATCTATTTGGGAGTCACCAGCGGTCCCGCTACTATATCCACAATCGTTTTGACGATTGCCGAATGGATTCCATCAGGCCCTGGAGATTTACTTACATTCAATTCCGCTAATATCCGATGAACCGCTTCTAATGACACATAAGCGTTCTCTATTTCCTCTGATAGGGGAGGGAGGGCGAGATCCGGTAGTGCCAGGTCGTCGCGATCTACCCCATGCCCACTACTGAAGTGTGTGCAAAAGGCGTCTACCTTTTCCTGTTCAATGATGACAGTCCTTCTTTCCAATTGTAAAGGTCCCATCATCCTTTTATTGGGACCCCTGGCTTCAGCGTAGCTGTAGTAGCGTTTCGGCTCCCTTTTGGCTCGGTTGGCTAGTTCCAACTCAGAGTCCCTTTTACCTTTTCTAATGAGCAAAACTGCTTCGTTATGACGTCTCGTGTACTCCCTCCAAGCCATCTGGGAACCCGAAGTACGGAAAGCTTCCCAGTTTCCATTTTTACGTTCAATTGCCCTACCTACAGCGGCGTGCCATCATGGCGGTTTCTTCCTCGAACCTCCGTGGGTTAAGGGAGCAAACTCATCTTGGAAGTTCATCAGGTTGTTTCTGATTATACTCCAGCTTTCGTCTACGTCAGCGTGCTGCTCCAAACTGTGCCAACTCAGTTGGGCTGCCTTAGCTTGGAGTAGATACACGTCAATCCTTCCAAAGTTCCTACACATCCTTTTAGATGGTGAATTTTTGGAGTAGCCCATCCGGTTTCTCACAGCCACCAGGCACTGTTGATGACGTTCGATGTAGGTTTCACTCCTTGGGAGATCGTTAATTCCCCACTGTTTGATTGCATTTCAGTGCAATGGAGTGAAACCCACATCGAACATCATCAACAGTGCCTGGTGCCTGTGAAAAACCAAATGGGCTAATCCAAACATTCACCATCTTAATTGATTGAGCCATCCGCACGAGGTGATAACCATCGACCGTGTNGGGTTTGAAGTCCCAGCCCGAATAATCGCGGTTTGAGTCCTGACAGGGACACAGAAAGTACGCCCTGCTGATGAGTCTCAAACAAGACAAAACAACTGTCCAGTGCTGTTTGTTGGTTATCACAAACATTTCCATCACACAAAAATTTCTACACATCCCTTCACGGGGTCTGGGTGTTTTCAACTGAAGTGTCATCTTGATGAGAAGATGATCAATTTTACCGATAGGAAGCAGATACTCCAGACTTTGCTTTTCTTCCTCCTGCGCTGTGATGGTCAAGTCCAACAGCGACGGCTGTTGGCCTTCCCGATAACTGGTGTTCTCCTTCACGTGCTGATAAAGGGCCCGTGAGTAAATCCGTTCTAGGTAGTTTTCGCCTGAACCTCGAGGACACCTCCCGAGCTCCCAGTCAACGGACTTAAGGTTGAAGTCAACCGTTACGACCAGTCTGGTCGAATTTTGAGCTAAGTTGTTCAGTGCCTGGATAGTCTGTTGGTCCTCTGATTGCGTGGCACTAGGACCCCTAGACACACAGGCAATGAACACATATCTGCTATTTGTAATAAGATCCATTGCAACTAGCTGCACATTGGGAGTAGAAACCAGAGTTTTTAATTCTACTGAGCACAAGTGAATTCTTAGAAGCAGGGCTACTCCTCCTCCCTGTAGAGAGCCACCGCTATCTGTTCTGTAGGTAACAAAGTTATCCTGAAACATACTAGGGTTAGGATCACTCTCTGAGAGCCAGGTTTCTGTTATAAATACAGTGGCAGCCTTATGGGTCTCCGCTGCCATCAGAACATTGGTTCACTTGTTTCTGTCAATGCATGTATAATAATAATGTATATTTCACGAAGCCCGTGAAGCATGCACAAGACATGATCATATGTTCAAAATAATCATATGTACAACGACAGTACAGGTAAATGAATAAACTACTTGGAAGACCTACATACTGGAGATGGTAGGGGAGCAGAACGAAAACACTGTGTAAACGGAACACAAAGCGGACGAGGTCACAAACGTTGGTGTGGAGGATGGAAGAATGTGCTGTATAAGCAAATCAATCGAAATTGGAGTAACTGTTACCCCGTTATCGAGGGGAAACGGAGTGTGGATCTAATGGGAGAAGGTATAGAGAGGCAAAATGTCGGACAATAGACGGGGAAAATGGAGTCACACGAATATGAATAAATAGGAAGGAGTACAGCGAGTTCATACGTTTGCAGGGATGCGGACGCATGCAGACAAAACCGTCGAAACAGCCATGCCCAGCATCGACTGCCAGGGCCAAAATTTTCCATTGTGGGTTTAAACTCCAAGCCTTCGACTGGTCCAAGCCAACCGAATCTGGAACAAAAAAGTCATACTGAACAGTCTGGGGTNTCTGCTGATGAATAAGTGGTCCCAAAACTTCAGAGTGTATGTACCAAGGTGGAATTTGTTCCACAGATACAGCTTTGGAGCTGTATCGGTGTACTGATAGAGGTTTGGTTCAGAAAGTGGTCACAGCTACCTGGTTCGCACGTGCCACTAAGTTTAGTCAAATGTATATTGTATGTATATTGTATATGTACAGTTAGGTAAGTACACGTAAAAACGATTATAAAACCGATAGGCATGCATGTATTTGTATACAGCAGTGTCATCCTCTTCTGTTGATTTTCTACTTCGAATTTCTCCTTAGGCGGAGAACCCGCGAAGAATCCACGTTTCTCGGGACCTCTTTAACAACCTCCTCGCGT